TTCGAAAACACTTATTTTTATGTCGTATTTCAATCTGTGCTAAATTTAAGCTAGTGGAATAGGAATGGGAGTAATGGGAGCAAGATGGGAGTAATTTCTTGGATGAGTTTAAATTTGAAGGAAAACCTACAAAAATTCTCCCAATGTCAAGGTTGTATTAGGCAATGGAATAACTAACTGTCCAACTCTACAACGCTAGTTAAAAAACTCCGTGATGAAAGCGAAAAATGACAGGCTTGAAGAAAGGTTAACGACGACGTACCAACATCCACGGTAACCATTTTAATACTATAATTGAAGCAGGTCGGCGCCTCGAAAGTTGCTGAAGAACTAGACACATGAAAAGGAATAGGACGCCCATCAAAATTTGGTAAGCACGAAAAAAGATAGTTACTGAATAAATTAGATTAAGAGCATGAGGATAATGCAAAGCAAGGGCTTCGGTGGCACAGTGACCCATGTGCCTTAGAAAGGTTAGTCATGGGTTCAAACCTCACCTGGAAATCCGAGTTTTCCAAGGGTTTCTGTATCATTGTGGCTGCATTTTACAAAATACCATGCCGTGAAATATTAATGTGCAGTAAATAAAGATTTGTACATTGTTTTCGACAATAACCACAGTTTAACTGGAGCTGATTTGAATTCCTTAGATCAGTTCCGCTGACTGGTGATTGCCGACGACAACAAAAACCGGCTAAGAGAAATGTATAACGAGGTCCTCAGTGGTGCAGTGGGAAACAAGTGACCACCTCAGAAAGGATAATCGTGGATTCGAATCTGGTCTGAGGTCCAAGTTTTGAAAATATCTCAGCAACATTGTGGTAGCATTTCACATAGTACTCTGCCATAAAAAAAATGAAAGGAAGTAAATAGAATATTAAACACTACGCTAACTGTTCCGAAAGCGGAACTGAACTTTCTTTGCGCAACGACAACAACTTGTTTTTGTTTGCACAATGACCTTAGGCAAAAATGGATTCGGTAAGACAGCGGGTGACGCTTTGCACAGCACTTGAACACAAATCAATGCTTCACGAATTCAAATTGAACCGTGGGATAAGAAATCATATTTTCTTGAACACTGATGAAACCACTGTGTGGCTGAGATTTCTTGCTAAAAGATGGACGAAATGCTCCAGGAGCTGCAATGTCTATGGCAATCTGTAAAGCCGAATTCGTTTCACGATAATGCATAACAAGTAGTAATAGTAGTAAAAGAAAGTGAAGGGAGCCTTTATCCCATCAGGCCTTCTACGGTCCGCCGAACTTTTTTCCAAATAACTCGATGATTACTTGCTGAGAAGATTCTCGACCACGAAAACGACAAAGGAGATGCTTTTAGGAGATAAGTGAGCTTCAGAATCCTATAATTTCACTTTTAGAAGGTAAATGAACTTCTGTCGTGTTGGTGAAGTTCTGTTAATTTTAATGGCTTTTTCGACTAGTGAAGATCACTCTGAGCAACAGTGTGCTCAAGGTTTACCGATAAAAGTAAAGAACTGGCAAAACTTTTCGAACAGCTCGCTCATGAAATTCTAGTTTATAAGTGGCGTTGAAAAGTGGACGGAGTCCAAATGCGGTCAGTTAGTCCCCATTTTCTTTCAACAGCGCGCGATTGAGTGGCTTGTGGCCTCAGCGGCTGGCCACAGATCTCCCACTTCGCACCATGAATTAAACCTGTGGAGAGACACTTCAGGACAAATTTGTGAACTTAGAAGCCCTATTATTGCCAACTTTCACTTTTTCTGCCGTTTATGTTTTTGTACAACACACGCAATCAGTTCTCCAGTCGAATTCCACTATATTGCTCCTCTGTACTAATTTGTTTCCACAATTTTCTTCCTCACCCTCTCTTGTTTAAACCTGCTAATCGTTTCATTAATGAATCGGTGAAGTTCAAAAAGAAGACCTTTGACTTTTCAACCTAATATAGTGCGGTTTTTCAACATCTAGAGTGTATTCCGAAGTCATTTGCTCAAACTAAACTCAAAAAAGACGCCATTTGCTTCTTGAATTCAAACTAAACCAAAAAGATGATTCTCCCAGAAGGAAACAAAAAATGTCATGCTCTCAAGATCATCCAGGTGAAGAAAACGACCTTCAGTGTGCAGCTTCAGCCCTTTAGTACCGATAAAACTCAAAGACACGAATAAGGTCGCCTGTGCTATTGATGATTCTAGATTTTCAACCAAGAAAAGATGGAACCGCTGCAACAGAAATGGAGCTTGGTAGTGAGTTATATTTAGTTGTTGCAGTTTAAAACCCCGTTTTCCTGTTCAGTTTGTTTTTTGGAGAAAATCGTTTTCGATCTTCCCATCGAATGCTTAAGAGGAGAGCAACTATAAACGCTTGTGAAATTACGCTGAGAAAAAGATCGCAACTCTCAAGATGCGCAACGTTTCTCGTACGAGATATTCGTTTTTCGAGAAACTCGTGATTTGATTTTTTTGTAGAACATTAAGCCTTTCAGAAAGCATCAATATTTGGATGGCTTTAGTTAGCTGGTGAGGGAGTTGTCATGAAAAGCCCTTATATTCCCTCAAACAACGGTCAGTATAACAATGCAGATCCATAAATGTCTTAAAAGTACGATTGGATGGCAAAGGAGTTCTTAAAAATTCAACTAAGCGCTAATTCTTTCTTGACGATTCTGCGACTTCACAACGAAAATCCACTGCACCTCAATGCTGATCACAGTAATTGTTTGTCGTTGCCATCTTAGATAGCACAAAATACCACCGATTTTAGGACCTCGGTTCCTATCAACACTGGAAACGGTACGTCTGAGGCATTGGCAAACCGGCTGGTCATCTCGAAGATTCAAAAAATTTTCGTCGTTATTCTGGATTACGAAGGTCGCTCAGTTCTCATTAAGCAACATTTTCACAAAGCAATACAGAATTCTGCGTTGGAGAAGGGTTAAAGAAGGAAAAATCGCTGTTAAACATTTTAGTGTTATCTTACATCAATATTAACATCAATATTAACAGTACAGGCTTAGGCACGATAAGCGGGAACATGAAGACAATATTTCAAAAAATATGTGAGAATAAGCTCCGTGCTAGAAGACAATAATGCCGACTGCTGTAAGATGGATTGCTTGGAGAAAAAGAAACGATTTTATTAACCTACAATCGCCATCAACAACGTTCTACATAGAAGAGCATTGCCGAATGAGGCGATTCATTCCAGCCGTACTCCACTGGATTCGACTCAATGCGATCACGAAGAGCCACATTGTAGGAGAATTTAAATCAGGTGGGCAATCGACTCGTATCAATTAGGCTCTGACGAAGCCGAAGGCCCCAAATCGTTAGCCGACTAAATTTTTTTCGTCAAGCTTCTGTTAGCTTATCACTAAAAGAAGATGAAGACAATTCCAGCTAGTGCTTTACAACAACGGATGCAGAGTTACCAGAATTGAATAAATCATTTTGATGCGTTTATTATCTTTGAATATGAAGGTTCAGCGTGGGCTACTAATTCCAGTCAGGAAACCCATTAAGCAATAAATCAGAACCAAATGGGCCTATACATGTTCTGTTGAAGTGAAATTAATCGTTTCGTTAAATTCTCTGGTGTATTCTAGTCGGATGGCAATAATAACCTGAGTTATTCTACTTGTCCGAAATTTAGAAAGTGCTGGTGTGTTTCTGTTTTTTTCGTTTCGAATACTATGACAGTGTAGAATTCATCGCCTGAAGTCCCACATAGGGGTAGAATGTCGAGGAAGAGCGGAGACATCAGTGGGGACGGCTGTAATCTTCCGTATCGGGAATGGTTTTGACGTTTCCAGACAAGCCGCATAGTCCGACCCAGGCGCCACGGATGCGGTCACCTCGAACACGCCCTCCAGCCATCGCCATTCACCAATTCCACCTCAGACGCCTCACGTTCGTGGAGGACACCCCTTTTTTAGTTGAGGATGGAATACGTGGGCGGATTTCCTCTCACAGAGCGTAAAAATAAACACACACTCTGCCTCTATAAAATGTTGTTCATTTTTGTTCGTTCTATGTGTTTCTAAGTTGAACTGCTAACCAATTACTATTGAAATTCTGTAAATTCAACTGGTTTTTGTCCAGGTGTTGGGTTTAAAAGTTCCACATTTCATGGTGCACCAGTTTATTGTTTACAAGTCAGAAATTATAATAGAGACGTTGTACAATAACTATTGTTTTTGCTCAGCGAATTAATAATTTAAACCAAGTAAAAATAATATAAAAGGTATAGAAAGTGGGGACGTCGTACCACTCAACTATGAGTATCTTAATGAACTTGGAATGTCTACTTAAAATCACCCATGAATACTTGAGAAGTCTATATGAATCTATGATTAGCTTCCTAACTTTCCTCAAGCATGGTTTCGGACGATCTGCATCCATTGTTGCTTAAATCTACACTTATATGCCAATTTATCTGAACTGAATTTATCTCAGGTCTTTTTCAATTGGTGAAAAAACCTCGTATAATATTATACGCTCACGTCGAAGCATCACAGAATTCTCCACACACATAGATTCCTCTTTACAGCAGCAAGCTGGTGACCATTTGCAACCAGACTGTTATCGGACCGGCATCAGAGCTGTTGTGATGACTCCCTCGGGGCAGATAGCACCCTAGAATCCCGTTCTTTGCTCGTACGTATGAATGTCGCTCTAGAACAATAATGTGAATGCCTGTCGAATTAGATTTAAGCAAATTGGCATCAATAATTGCGAGTCGTCTATCCATACGTGGATACAGCTCATTCTATAGACATTTTACTTGAGCTTGCTCATATGTACGGGTATCACACCGGCTGTTTTTCGCTCTTTCCCGGCCCATTGCTTTTTTTTTTTAGTAATTGTGCTACCAATCATGCTCTATATTTCACTGTCCAATTTCTTCAGCCTTTCTTCTTTTTTTTCTTGATGGCTGACTCTCTCGCGTCCTTAGTGTGGAGATAGTTAAATAGTTTTCGTCTAAGAATGAAATATTTTGAATGAATGAATGAATGAATGACAAATCACAGCCGTTTTTTTCACGTTCTTAAACGCTTCACACCAGATCGTGCTTACAGATCCGGCTTTCACTTTTGCACCTTTGCAGACTTCCCAGCCAGGTCGTCTAGTTTGCCAATGGTGCTTGAACTTCTCCCACTCTGGCTGCTGCTCATACGTACTATCTCCGCAGTTCCTAGCATTCGTGGAAAATGTTCACTTGAGTGTTATTCCAGATGCATGCAATCAGGAACAGTGAGTGGAATCTTGTCAGAGAATTTGTCATTAAGTTATTGTTTCACTAAATTACTGAGTTTTTTGAATTAATTTACTGAATCACTAAATTCCTAGCATAACTCATTGAAGACTTTTCTTCATATACTTCTTGCCTTTTTTGGCACCTGTTTACTCATTTCTAAGAAGAAATGATCAGAATTCGTTGTTGATAACCAGTGATTATCTAATGCGGAGGGTGCGGCATTCATCTACAATAGCTTTTGTCTAACCAACTGTGCGTTTTCTGTGTTGTTTCTTCTAACGGACTTCAGATTCAAAAACAATGTAATGGAAATGCAGCGGAAGACAATTACAAGCTTTGATAAAAAAGATATGTCTTCGTCTAATACGCGGTTTCTTAAGAAACCCAGTTCTGCAACGTGCCTTGGTGAAAAGAGTCTGCCCATATTGCTGCAAGGGCATCTTGTGGTCTATTTGGCCATTCATCAGAAGTACCATTAGATTGACGGTAGTACGGTGGCAAATCGCCGTACCAAACGCGATGAGTGAATTAAGCGTGGAATAGGAATTGTTTGGTTCACACGATACTGTTGGCTTCGGGTTGCTTCGGAGCGGCAGACGGTCGGCAAGAGGCCCAAAAGGTACGGGACACGACGGCGGGCAACTCATTTCGAAATATGATCGTCTTGGTTCAAGAGCTTCACCGGCCTACTTTCATTTCGGGATCTACTGTCGATCCGACAAGTTTCAAGTCAAGCCAATTAAAGCACAATTTATTGTCACTCAAAAGCTTCAGCTGGATATAATTTAAAGAAGAGGTAAGAAAAGAAAAACAAGGGAAAAATTGAAAAAGAGAAACTTCATAATGTCCTTTTTAATCAAAAGAACTATGAGCGAATAATTGTGTTGCAAAAGCGCTTTTATAAGATTAAAGAAACAGATTGATATTTCTTTTCCAGTTTGCCACTATATTACAACTATGCAGAATAATTTAAATTCCGGCAACAAATACCACCTGCAATATAGTCGACGCTGATTTGAAGTCGTGTCAGTCTACAGGAAAAGAAACTGGGAAAGCTGGTATAAACTCCGTATGACTGGAAGAACCGACCTTTGCGAAAGTGCTTTTGCTCCGTTTAGCGTATCAGAGATGAAAGAGCGATACCCTTACAATTTCCACTATACATAGATGGAATTGGCTGTTCAATAATACCATCTGCACCACCGCCAAGTCCTTCTACCAACTAGCTGCATAAACGTGATTCTAGAGCAAGATCACCGGCTCCATTACATTCAAACAGAAATCATTGAATAGTTCGAGTTTTTCGGACTGGCTAAACGTTCTCTTTTCTTTTTTAACTCGTAGTTGTAGAGATTGAGAGTGCAGCAGGATAAAACAGATCTATTTTGCTCCAATTTTCTGCGGCCATGGTCCCGATCATTATGATGATCGACGTAAAATCGCTATTCCTTGGAGCTAATGACGCTTGCAAGGCTGTCAGATCTCCATCTGTTTACTGCCTCCAAATGGCTCTTTTGTCATCGTCGCTTCGCTACAGGGTGCGGTCGCGGATACGGCTACTATCTCTTCGCGGAGAAATCAGAGCCAGACAATAGGAAAGGAAGAGTCGAGCTAGTTTTCTTGTAGATCGGCCGCGGTCTTCAGCACACAAATGTGATGCACGAACCTCCTTGACTCAGTTTAAAATTTAACATATTGGTGGTTGACCCAGATCGCATGACCTCGTGGAATGCGAATACCATAACCATTCCACTCCATGTCAATATGGAAGAATCGCAGAAGAAACTATGCTGTTAACACAGTGGACTCCGAAGTAGACGGAAATCGACGGCGATTGTTAAAGAGGCGCTTGATTTCGACTGAATGTGACCGCTCATGTCTATACAAGTGTTGTTATGAAAACGTGTCGTTTTCTTTTTCAGAAATCGCGAGGTTGTTATTAGAACACACACCTCCATACAGAGAACGCCTACAACACAACAGCAGATGACGCTTCGGCCGTGTACCTTCCAAGCCGTGAAGAAGGCGATACTGCCGAAACGACAGCTACTGTTGCGTTGTACGTGTTTTTTGTACGGAAGTAAACATGTTTTGAATAACGACCTGGCAAGTGCTGAACGAAAAAACGACAGATTTATAATCCAATGCCGAAGTTAGTGGAAAGTCGACGCTGGCAACTGTAATTATAAAACATGAAAAGACAAGTAACGATGCCAATGCCCTTTACCTTTGTGCCTCCATTTTTCTTTAAGAAATTATATCACGAAGCGTTACTAGCGCCAACGCAAAATGCTATTTTGGAAATTCTTTTGCCATCTCTTCCAAATCGAACTACAGAAATATCTATTTTTGTTCCTTCTAACCTAGAACCTTACATATTCTTCTATTCTTTGTAGCGTAATCCTACAATCCAATAGCACGATTTTAAAAAGGACCTGAATAACTACCACCTCTTGTCGAGCGGAGGACTACTGGCGAACTAATTTCATTAATGGTCGAATCACTTCGTACAGGCGGCTCTTCCGAGAGCAGACCACATTTCAGCGGTTTAAACGTGAACTGGCGCCGGTTAATTCACTTTGAATGGAGTTGGCTTCCCGCTAGACATTCGTCGACTCCGCGTATTCATCCACAGACCAGAAACGCCCGATGTTTCTTCGTCACCAGTGATTTAGTGGCTATTACCGCCAACGAAGCGCCATTTATGAAGGGCAAAAAGCGAGCTGGTCACAACGACGACTAATAATGACTTCAACTCAGAAATAACGGCTATATAAATAAGTGCTCCTCTTTGCTCTATGTATTGGATTGAGATGAAGACGTCAAATTAGAAAGAGTGATCGGTCTAACACAAACAACATATCATCATCACTAAGCTTCTACTATAGTTGACCCTTGGTGTTTTTAAAGAATTAAACCATTAAGGATAACTGAAGCCGACCTGGTCAATTGAGCGAAGGCTAATGTCAGTTTTAACGCCTGCATAGCGCATGTTCACCAATTGTGTGCGCATCGAAAGCTTTCATACGACCGGTATTTCAAAGGTTATGCAAGTTTTTCTTCCCTGGACTGAAATACGACGCTCTTCAGTCGTCAGTGGACGCAATCAACAGTTTTTTTTTATTGAAGATAGATTTGCTGCCCTACAACTTTTGGATTTGAAAGAATGAATTTCACAGATAAATCGGGTATGATTCTCTCGCAAACTACATTTCGATTTCCAGGATTACCACCAGTAACAAAGTGAACAGTGGAAATTAAAGTCGACGAATGCTTGATACTTGATACTTGAACGGCCCATCCTCACTGGTTGGGCGGGCCCCAGCACAATCTCCACTTTTGGGGATTTGCTGGTTAAGCCATTGTGGTTTCCTGGAATGCCGAGGTCAGCCTGGCCAAAGTCTGCCCCAGGTCTTCACCACCACAGGCAGTCGCAGCCCTTGTGGGTCAGAGAGAGGTCTGTTGTCATGCGACTTTTGTACCAGGACGGTGGTGGATCCTGGTATTGGTTTACTCTTAGCTAGGCTTCCATATAAAAATACCGGACTTCTTCTCAGCTTGGGTGACTGTGCCAGGGTGATTAATCCCTCCGCTGCACATCTCAGCCCAACACCCAGAAACACCTCCCAGCCACGATGAGGCTGTAAACCGTTGGGAGGCTGGAGTCGAGGAATACCTATTTAAAATAGTGAGGAGAAAAAAATCGAATCTCTTAAAATTCGGAAGACAAAAAGCAGAAACGTAAATTGAGGAAAACGTTTCCTTTTTGGTTCACGGTATTCTAACTTTCCAAAAATGAAAGGAAACGATTAGGCCCGAACAATCCGGGTCAACTTAGTTTTAAATATGTACGTTCTCGAAATGCCCTACCTTGATAATCACGATATTCGCAAACTTTTTACAAACTTTCGTGTTATAGGAAAAAACTTAGCTCTAACTACAAATCAATATCAGAACGAAAATTCTTCTCACATTTTAAATAGACAGAAATTAGAAGATAGATGCAACATGCAAACCAGCATTTGGTCACATTCTTAGGAATCCCAGCAGTTTGAACATTTATGGAAAGAACATGGATATAACGTCGTTCAAATACATGCTGAGATTCGGTAGCCTTTCTTGAAAAGTGCACTTAGTATTTTTGTAAGGGTTGTATTGGTGTGTGAATCTCCACTGATAAATGCGACCTCGTGCCAAGATAAATAAGTCCCCTATGCCACCTCGCTTGGGAGTTGGTATCACGTTTTTCTCGGAAGAACTGTTTCTTAAAGGAAGGCGACTGCATATGATGTAGACGAGGAAACACCCTAGCATGGCAATCCCATGACTCCTGGTCGAATAGGGTGCACCAGCACTTAGCGACATTCATGATGAACACCGAAATTCGTCAAGTACCACCCAAAACCTTATGCTAAAGGCTTCATAGACGATGAATGCGACGAAACGAATGGAATGAATGAGACGCTGGAATCAGCACAGCATGAGATGTGATTATGGAAAACAAATTTCTTTACCATTCTACACGACACGTCTTCACAGCCGTTGTGCTATTTCAAAATTTCTTCCATTCGATTCTTTTCTTCACATCCATCATTATCGAAGAACTTCTACCTTTTTCTGTATGGGCTTCGGTCCTGGTTGAGGATTTTCCTTTTGTCACAAATGTCGTTGAATAGTGGTCGAGTCGATTCCTCCCGGAAACATGAAATAGCCGAGCTAGAGCGTTCCCACTTGAATTGCAGTGAATTCAATTTCCTCAGGGAATTCTGGAATCAACTTTCCGACTCCGAAAGGATGTGGGGCTCGGTGAGCCCTGTGCGGGATCAAACTAGCGCTGTAATTGTTGTGAGCCGCGTCGATATCACTGCGCTACTTGCCTCTTGTAGAATAAATAATATAAAAAATACTTGAAGTTGAACTCTAGATGATATTCCGTCCATCATCACCAAGCTAAAGATACCTGCTGTGAACTCTCTTTTTCAGCCATCTGCCATCTATTGCAATTGTCTAATCGAGCGGGTCAGTCGTCCTTGCAATTCAGTGGATCCAAAACTCGCAAACGGTCCGATTTTATCGCTAACTTATTTCGTGTTTTTACTCTTAACGAGGAAACCCATAAGGCGAACCTCGTAGTTTTACACATTTTGTTCCACGAAAAATCTCTACGAATCCTTTTAAACTTGCAGATGCTAGTAATTAAGATAAAAACAAAGTCTTTGAAAATTTCTTTCTCAGAAGCACTTATCAGCTTGAAAAGAAAATATCAGGACAGAAACCTAATGATTCCTTAGCTCAAGAGCCTGCTGTCAATTCTAGACGAGAAAAAATCACTGAATAAATTCACAATTCAGTAGAGTCGCTAGTAAAAGTAGTAAATAATGAAAGGATCGATTTAAGACTATATGGGTACTTTTCCTCATAAATTCACCGCACGTTTAAACAAATCAGGCTCCGAATTCTGTTATCAGAATTGTTTTAAAAAGCCGTTTCGCCAATCGACAATCAGAAAACTATAAAGCTTATCGTAGCCAGTGAAGAAAGTAGAAGCTCTCCTACCGCTTGTGAACCCTTTCACAACCATGCGCATTGATTTCTATGAACGCTGCTGTACGTTTTGTACCGTACTCCTTGATTTCAATGCGCATCTCAGTTGCGCTCAAATGACACGTTGTCGGATGGTGGCTGCCACTCGAAAATGGCCGCGGTCGTGAAAGGGTTGATCCTTTCTTCTTGTAACAACTATTTAAAGTCTGGGGATAGATCATATAACGCTTCCATAAAGTCTAACAATTGATAGTGATAGTTATTTCTGAAAAGAACAACCCAACAATTCTTAATACCGTTGTCATTATGTTGACTTCATCGTCCATTTAAGATCATCAAAATGAAATAAGTCGTTCGGCGCTGACCAGTTCCTGAGGTGTGCGCCATTGGACTCAGTTAAGCACCGTAGAAATAACTGCAAATTTAGGCTGTACGATGGCCTACCGATGTATTATGCAATTATTTATTTTATCCTCACAGACAAATGTAACATCACCAATTATCCGAGAGTAGGGGCTGAGTAGTGAGCAGGTGGCAAGGGATCGAACCAAAGACGATGAATATGTTGCAGAGTATTTCTAATCACTGCGCTGCATAAACAATTGAAATCCGCTTTAACGTGCCTTCGCCAAAAGTACAAACGGGCTCTTTTTTCAGCTCTAGTTATGCCCATGCCTTCATCGTTCACGTCGGAGTATCTGGACGCCCACACTCTGCGCCTGGAGATCCCACCTCACCCGGCCGGATTCGCCTACGTGTTCGAATACGCCACCGTGAGCACCAAGGCAGACGAATGGTATTTCGCGGTAAGCCATTTCATCCTCACCGATTTCGATCTAAAGTAGCTGAATAAAGCTTGACGGCGAACATTCAGAGAAGGAATAATTGGAGCTCAGCTTTCCAAGCCTCATCCAGTAACCAATTTCTGAAATCAAAGTATGAGGTCTAAGCACACTAGGAGCAAAAGGGCATAAGTCAATTAAACAAAAGTCAGAAGTACAAGATGTAGAAAAAGACAAAACTGGGAACGCGGAAATTTGTGGTTTTGCGAAAATTTTTGAAAAAAAGGTGAAGAAGCCCAAAGGGAGGCTGGTAAAAAATTATGAGCCACTAGCTTACATGAAAAGTATTTACAGTGGTTTTATTTGAATTTTTGAAAGAACGCGTGATTGGCGCCTCCAACCACTGCGACACACGCTTGGAATCGATCACCGCTTCCATGACTCCCCAAGCCTTCCATTCCTCCGGGATCAGCAAATCGGTACCAGACTTGTATGGGAGGATAGCAGCACTGGCTTAATACATCGGCAGACCACTGGGAGTCATTGTAAAGGCCAGATATGCAATCAATCACCACCAACGATACTTAATGAAGTCGAATTCATGGTGCATGTCTCAGGGATTGATCAACGCTGAGAGCTTTATCCTCTATGCTTTCTATTCGAATTTTAACTGGCGGATTCTCAGCAGAATAACAAATCTTTTTGGTGCAGTAAAGATCAATAGTTTCTATTGGTTTCTATTTCAATTTACATCACTCACCCCAAATTTAGGTATTTTATCTAACATTGAGAAACACAGTTGTTTTCTGCCAGTTAAACTTCGACTCATCTCGTTCCCTGTGTGCCAATTAGCGAAAGCGGATTTTAGCATTGCAATTTTGGTTGTTTGACAGTTCTACTGAACAGAACGCAGTATTCCTAGTAGAGCTAGCAGACATAATTCTATTTCACCGTTAAGTTGAATTCCGTGGCACTTTTTTAAATGGTTACATTTCAGTATTCGAAGAAGTCCTTGCAGTTGCAACTATTTTAGCACTGTGTTTAAATTGTTGAGTTCCACGAGGTTGTTGTACAACTTCTATTTGGATAGCGTTTCGACGTCTTCGTCTTGTCTTCGTCTTCATCAGTTTCGTCTTATCCGGAAAAAATAAGTTGTCATTACCGGACAGTCACTATTTTCAACCACCAGCATCCTGATTAAAAGAGCGTTGGCGGCTGAGAATGCCTCACTCCAGAGATGCTCTACTGACGAAGATCCGACTCGATACAAAGACGAAAATGACACATCGAGACGACGAACAGTTGTTGACCACCAACTCGGATCATCGGTTCTAATGAAGACAAAGACGTCGAAACATTAATCAAATGAAAGTTGTACAACAGCCTCGTTTATCCTCAACAATTTAAATACATGTTGACTAGTCATACCGAGGTTGAAGAAAAGTTGGTTTTTGAAATATTATTTTCGCACCATATTTCCTCTTCTACGCACTAACGAAATATTTAAATATTTTCAGGGCGCCTCAACTAACCCGGCAGTGACCTTTACGATCCTTGATCCGTGCAGGGATTACAAATTCCGGTAAGACACAAACGACTGAGTAACTACTAACCGTGGAGTTTTCACTCCCTCGTCTAACTTCGCGTGGTATCTAAATGTTTCCACCGAAAGTTGTTTGAGTAAAAAGAAAAAAAAGCAAGAATGGAGAATAAACAGTCCAATTTTGATTTCTGATATGCATAAGCTATGGTATCACTATTGATAAGTGGGGGTTTTCATTTCAGAGTGATCGCTGTGATACGGAGTTCACATCCCACTGATCACTTTGTTATCTACAGTCAGAAGGCGATTCCAGTTCAACTTCCGCAGTTTGCTCTAGCAAGCGATCAGGTAGTAAATTAAAGGAAACATATAACGAAGACAGAAGCTAAGAGCTCGTTTATTTATTAGCATTTTATATTAGCAGAGACAACGAATAAGAATAAGAACAAAGACCAAAAATTTGTTCTTTCCACTTCTGCCCAGCAAACACAAGGTGCTATTCCACTTCCCCACTCACGCAAAACCTGACGTTTCGGCGGATTTCGCCTTCCTCAGAGCCTGGAAAGGTCACGTTGACAGCAACCTATTCGGCCAAACACCTTCACAACCAAACAGAGAAAACGCTAAACCAAGATTTCAATCCCATTGAATACAGCTTCGCACACTCACCGCTTTCTATGAGTCTTCCACTGAGTGTGTCGTGTGAAGACCAACCACACAGAACTCACATGGAAGCGTAATGCGCCCCTTCCATCGGAATAACAGGTTTATATACTGCCCTATATCACGCCGTCTTGTACTTGTTTATAAAAACTCACAAGCTAGTATCCAGCGATGTTCTTGCGTCTACCGATCCATCACTATTTAAGGTTAGACCTATCATTAGCTGCGTAGACGGGCCAACGGACAGGATAACATTGTTTTTAACCCTGATATTTAACCAGTTGTTGAAACACATTCCAGCCCATGTTACGAATACCCAGATGTTTCTGGATCGTCTACGTACNACAAGCTAGTATCCAGCGATGTTCTTGCGTCTACCGATCCATCACTATTTAAGGTTAGACCTATAATTAGCTGCGTAGACGGGCCAACGGACAGGATAACATTGTTTTTAACCCTGATATTTAACCAGTTGTTGAAACACATTCCAGCCCATGTTACGAATACCCAGATGTTTCTGGATCGTCTACGTACTGCATAGCCCAGCAGCGCGTACGTGATGGAGTTCTTCGACGTTACTGCTTCTTATACAAACGTGTCGAATAACTCCGCAATGCAAACCATGTTCGAACTCCTTTACAACACGAAGGAGAAATAAACATGTATGGCTTCAAGATAGAGCACCTGATGGCACTCTTAAAAGAACGCTTGAGCTGCTCAATCTTCAAATGGTCTGGAAAGTACTACGCTCAAATAAGAGGGTTGGCAATGGGACAACGACTGGCTCCAAGCCTTGCCATTGCATTTGTGTTTAACGTGGAAGCACCGGTGACTGATCTCGGGCCGCTACTCTACTGTAGGTATGTAGACGACTGCTTTGTCCTTTGCTCAACACATGAGGAAATGAACAAATGCTTCGAATTGTTAAACGCACAGTCAGAGTATATCAAGTTCACCCGAGAGAAACCGAAAGAAAAATGGCTTCCATTCCTGAACGTCCAAATTAACCTATCAGAAAATGGCTACATTACGAAGTGGTACCGAAAGCCAAGTAGTAAAAACATCCTGGTACATTACCTCTCTTCTCACCCCTCTCACACAAAAAGAGCGCTTGTAAGAAACATGTTTCGAACAGCAACCAACGTGTGCACGCGAAGAGAGCAGATAGAGGAGTCCCGGAACTTGGCACGGCAAATTGCCATTTCTAATGGCTACGAAACTGTAGCTCAGGATAGGTGTAGAGAAAATCGTAGGCCTCCAAACGACAACTCTAGCGATAGAAGGGTCCCGTTTATCCTACCCTTCATCTCAAATGATATAAGTACAGCTATAAAACGCTGCTTAAGAAGGGCGGGTCTAGAGAATTTGGTAAACGTAGTTGAAATGCCACCGAGTAATCTTAGGCGCCAGCTAGTTCGTAACAGACTGTATGACCGTCTAAGTCCAACGCAGAATTGCATAATTTGTCCCATTGGTAGAGACGGTGATTGCCTGAGCTCGCGTATAGTTTATCTGATCTCCTGTAAAGCGTGCGGAGACGAATACATTGGCGAAACGGTCAAACCCCTCTGTATCCGCATAAAAAAAACACCTAGTCGGAAAACATAAACCAAATACCTCGCTAGGCACGCATAGAACCCAGAGATATAACGGGGAGGACTTTGAAGTACGTGTCACGATCCTCGCGCAGGAATCAAGAGCACAAGCGCGCAAAACTCTCGAGGGGTTCTGGATTAATTCCAGAAGTCCGAAAATGAACCGCAGGGAAGAATGCCTCATTATCACGCGTGATATAGGGCAGTATATAAACCTGTTATTCTGTTGGGAGGAGCACATTACGCTTCCATGTGAATTCTGTGCGGTTGGTCTTCACACGACATACTCGGTGGAAGACTCATAGAAAGCGGTGAGTGTGCGAAGCTGTATTCAATGTGGTTGAAATCTTGGTTTAGCGTTTTCTCTGTTTGGTTGTGAAGGTGTTTGGCCGAATAGGTTGCTGTCAACGTGACCTTTCCAAGCTCTGAGGAAGGAGAAATCCGCTGAAACGTCAGCTTTTACGTGAGTGGGGAAGTGGAATAGCACCTCGTGTTTGCTAAGCAGGAGTGGAAAGAATTGTTCAATCAATGCCGAGGTTAATAGAAGGTCGGACGTGGGTGTTACTAAAAATTTGGATCCACGTCTCATTTCGTGGGGAAATTGAACATTTCAAATACATTGACACCCATTGGTTTTGTGATCCACACGTGATTTTTCTGCAATGGAAAAACCGAGCACCTCTATCGAATTGACCCAAAATTCGCTATAGTGTTAGAAACTTCTTTTGCAATTTGGCGTACTCCGTTATGTTGATGTCGAAAACTTCCCATATTTACGCCTAAAGAAATCCTATATATTTTATAAACCTGCACTTCAGTGTATTTATAGCTACATCTCTGTACATTTGAGGATATCACTGAAGAAGAGCAGAACATATGATTGCAATTCTCAGCCGTAGAACCACCGCTAATTTGTTTGGAAATGCTTGCAGATCATCGCCGAACCACCCACATTCAACGCCTCTACCGACACGCTCAAGGTGTACGTCAGATGGACGCTGCCGAGGTTGAACAGCTTCATGTCACCTTCCCTCAATTAGAACGAAGCTCCACGTATAGCTGGAAGCGTAGTCGCGTAACCGATAAACTCCTTGTTCGATTAGCTGTGATTATCGAGATTGGAAATTGGGGAAAATCGACAAAGTATCTATAACGCTGTCAAGAAGTTTTTCCTTCAGAGGTTTCTCAGATGCCGATATTTACGGCTATGAATCGCCAGCTCTCTATCCACTTCAGTGCCGAACTCCTGAAGACGAGCTACCTCAGCCGAGAATTGTGAGCCTTTTTAGATTTCTGAAAACTCTGTGTTTTTAAGTGAAAGGTACTTAGTTCAAAGAGCATTTCAGTAAAAAAAAAACATTGGCGTATTCACGGAAAAGTTACTTCAGCGTTGAGTGATTCGGGCTGCTTGTCCTTATCGCGGGTTAGAGCTGTCAAATTGATTTCGCTTACTAGAGGGATACAAAATGTATCACATTTTCATTTGGAGCCATATGTTTTCGCTATTTTTCAAGAGGATGCAGTTAAAGATAACGAACTGCATTTTGCTGGGGCGGCAAGGCATACCTCGCGCAACTTGTTGCACTTTTGCGGGATATATCGAACTCTGTGAACTTTAATTTTTATAAACGATTTCCAAACGTTTCCCAGTTATGGTCCAGTCGTTATATTGTGCTGTTTTGATAGAATTGATGCGAGTAGCATAAGTTGCGCAAACGTAACCACACCGAAATATGTGAGGTCGAAGAAGACTTTCTGTTGAAGGAGAGAAAGAGGCACTTTGGTGCAGCACAGACAAGCTGTCCGACTTCAGAATCCACCAATCACTCGTGCAAATAAACACATATGAAATCAAATAAGTGTGTAGTCACTATTAACTGGTATTCAGACTTTTATCCGCTACTACTATTTGGACGCGCCACAAGGCTCGCTAATCGCTCCGAAATTTTTTGCATGAAAAAGATCTATGAAAAGATATAATACGGTGGGATTAAACGTTGGAGACATAAAACAATTGAGCAAGGGGAGGCGGTGTCCCAGAAATATGGAGAGAAAAAAGATTGGGATGAACGAATGAGTGGGCGAACAAATAGAAATAAAACTATACACTGCGGACGTGATTCTGCTTTCTACAGCAGTAGATGATGAGGTGATTTTCATATTCATCAGCAATTTGTTAAATAGGTAATTGATGGGACTTACTCATAGTAGAAAACTAACCGATTCCCTCAAAATGCGCCACCCTTGGTGAAAAAGTATTTGCATCAGCCTTCTCTTTCGTGACGATCCCCGCACTAATCCAGGAAATCGTGCGCTCGGGTGGCAGACTGGTCGTCTCGCTGCCGTCGACAGTGCTGGAGGCTCGGTGTCGGCTGTGGGTGGAGGTGCACATGTTGCCCAGGTACGTCGCACCTGCTCCAGTTCTCTCTTTTTCTTGCTGAATTTTTTTTTAAATCAAAGAAGTACCTCGATACCCGAAGCTTTGTCTAACTTCGTTCTGGTTTTTTTTCGTTATTTAAATCAGATTTATCCACCGTATGCGTCAAAACAGTCTGTTCGTCCTTGCTGATATTATGATGTCGATTATTATCAGTGACACTTTTTTCTTAACAGATGAGCCAGAAAATATGCATTTGTTTCTTCTCAGCTTTTCTCCAAAACAGTTTTAGCTTGTGACAAAAATTTTCACCGTAGATATTGAAGACGCTGTAAATGTGGTTCAGTACTGCCAGCCGTAGGTTACCAGAAAGGCCTCACTGGCGAATTCGAATACGGTTTAGTACATACTCATACCATATTCGCAATGGACCATGGGTTACAACGTTTCGATCCCTGTATTCACTGTCCTGTAGTTATGAAGCCACTAACCTCCGAGTCAGTATCTTAGTATTAAATTTCTTCCAGTAAGTAATCGAAAACCAACAGTACAGTTAGAGCATCACGAAACAGGGCCTTTTCCACACAACAAATCATTACTCTGTACACGAAAGAGAGAATCCGATGTTTAATCTGCTAGCCTAGAATGCTGAGTTTTTGTACTTGGAGTGAAGAATATTTGGAGTCCACTGATAATCGTTATGTTCATTGCTCACTGCATGAAAATCTTTATGGAAGATTTGCAGGTGTGTTCGTCTGGAGCCTTTCAACATTCAGAAAAACATCGAAATTGACTGTGACCGAAGTGCAGAGTTGGAAATCTGTACAAAAAGTGTGTTATTTTCCTTCCATCACCACTGGGTTGTCTACTTCTTCCGGTTATCAGTGCCTTCTACCTGTTAGAAAGGTCACTTTAAGAAAATTCACTTTCTCCAGTTTCTAATCCTGGAGATACTTTCGTATATGTATTGTTGCTGTATAAACCAATCGGAAAAGGATGTCACTTTTAATTCATTTTCGTCGAGAAGGAAATTTGTTCATGAAGTATATATAGAATGTGGAATAAGTAAATGAAAAATGTAGAGTGTTACTGTCGGTTTATTTCGCATAAGACGAGTTAACACAGCTTTCACCAACGTCAGACCATTGATTACAGAAGCAAGTCCCATCTGTGTGGAGATCCTGGAGGTTCGTGGGAAGCGAGGCCTCGCCACGCTCACGTGGTCGCCACCATCTCGAGCTCCCCTCTACTACCACGTGCGTTACGGTCCCGCACAAATGAAAGTGAGTGAGCTTGCCTTAATGGCCGAATGCCCAATATTTTTCATAATTTGAAATTAGTGGCGGTATCATCCGAACTTTGGGATTCTCAAATGCTTGCGAGAAGTTCTCAATTGTTCTAGTTATTTGAAAAGTTACCATTATCAATGCATTTTACAACGTTATGTTTTATCATAAAGGCACTTATTTGCAAGTTTTGTCCTTCTTTTTTTCTGATTAGGTTTTACAAATAGAAAAAAAAATAGAAAAATAAAATAAAAAAAATAAAAAAAAATTAAAAAAAAATAAAACAGAAAAAAAATAAAATAAAATAAAAAAATAAAATAAAATAAATAAAATAAAAAAAAATAAAAAAAATTAAAATAAAATTTTATTATTATTAATTAATTATTATATTATTATTATTATATTATTATTATTATTATTTATTATTATTAATTTTATTTTATTTTATTAAAATTTTATAAATAAAATAATAAAATGGAAATGGGTGCTTAGAGGGCTCGTCTTCACAAATGGCGGTGCGGGCTCCAGCATATTTTCCATTTGGTCGAAATTTTGTTGGTTCAACCACTGTGGATCCCTGGAGTCCCGTGGTCAACCTAGCCAAAGTCTGCTCTGGGTGGTCACCATCACAGGCAGTCGCCGCCTTTTTGGATCAGAGGGAGATTTGTCACCATGTGACTAGTTTGATGCCAGGACAGTAGTGGATCCTGATATTGGTTTATTTTTAGCTGGGCTTTCTGAAGGTAACACCGGACTCTTTCCCACCTGCTTGTGAGACCCTGTTGGGAAGACGAATCCGTTTGCTGTATATTGCAGGTCGACACCAGGAATACGCCAGCCACGATGAGGCGGTTTGGGAAGACGTTTTACAAATACCCTTAGTAACTGCCACAGTGTTTACACTTTCATGTCTTCGTTTTCTTTTCTGCTACTTCATATGTAATCTATTTTTAAGGGAAATCCACCTTTTGTCACTTGGCAACTCGCCACAAAAAAAGATATAAAGGTTGAGGGCACAGTGACGAGTTTGGACCTCAATGTGACCGAAGACCAGGATTTCGGAATTCAGGTTGTGACATTTTCGTTTTTGGAATCGTTTTCACGTTTGTCTCTACTTAATTGTTTTGTTCATCATATTCACTGGATGGAAGGACCAAAAATTGCTTTTTCTATTTCTATAATTCTGAAAGCAATACTTTAAGGTATGCGCGATTCTGACCCAGCACCGTAATCGCCCGAAGTTCGGTGTAGTTCGAGTCACTCCTTTTCACTGCACCAGCTGTAATCATAACCGTGAGTTTGCTTAGAAACATTGACGAGAAAGGTCGGTGCTAGAAGAAAAGAAACTTCCTTAGCTGAAAATGACCACGTCGCTACATTTTTTGGTAATGTTTCATCCCTAGCCACAGCAACGCTCGATCACTAAGTAGATTTTAAGTTCGTGTCAAATACTGAATGGATACACAGTGAAATTTGATTAGTCCACGGATTTATGAAAATACACAAGCTGTGCATCATTATGAACTTCCATTACGATTCATTCAACCGCTTCATCTCTCTGCGTCAATACCAGATCGTTTGCTTTTACTGAGAAACAAAGCCAAATATATCTTTCTTCTTTCAGCAACTCATTCAGTCGGTCGTTGTGGTGAATGCGGCAAAGTTGAGGGCACTACAGTAGCTGACAGAAGTTGGAAAGCTGTTGTAAAAGAACCACTTCATAGAAGTAGAACGGAACACGAAAGGATTAAGGTGGGACTTTTAGCATGATGAAAAACGGTTATTGCACAATGAAAATCGAGAACAAACACCTGGGCGGTTTTGCCGAGCGAGTCGTCTCTCGATAACGTTCCAAAGGTTGTGCTGTTGTTCATGTTGGTCATCGACTGCGATGTTACGAGTGGGACTCTGGATCCTGACTGAGAATGAGGAAGGCGAAAATCGCCAGAACGTCAGCCGTCGACCAACAAGAACAACAGCAACAACAACAACAACAACGAAACGACAACGAAGACCCATACCAACCTCGCGTCAGCTGAAGAAGATCAGTTTATAAGATCATATAAATAAATATACCAACTATCTATGCCGAGGTTTATAGAAAATCGGTCTTTTCAATTACATTTTGGAAAGTTGATGACAAGAGGGCAATGGAACGCTTGCACTGTGTTTTCTTTACTCTTGTTTCTTTGGTGGTGCGAATTTGTTATGCGATAGCTCTTGTACTCGACAGTTTCCCAGTGACAGTTGTTGGTCCTGACTTGAGAAAAGCCATTTCCTTTAGACATCACAATTTGCAAAAACCGGTTCTACGGGTTCGTTGGTCTTTATGCGTGTAATGGAGATTCTTTCCATATTTCCAAGGAAATGAGATGCGTACTAAAGACAGGGTGACAGAAGTGCTTCCACACTTTCGCAATAGATTTTTAAAATTTGGGCAACGGTTGTGTTAAGCCGCTGACGACTTAAGAATTTAATATTTTAAGAGAAAAAGTTTGCACAGTTTAGGTGGTACCATCTCAGATGGTGTACAGAATGGAGACGGATCTTCTAGTAGGCGATAATGTTCCTCGGTATTCCACTACGAACATTTCCGCTTCGCAAGTGCATACGGTCAGTTAGAGTGCCACTCTCACAAAACTCTCACTCATAGTGACACTCTGGTCTCATTCCTTCTGCATAAACGAAGTGCGGAACTCGAATTTTTTGTTTCCCATGACTGCATTTTTGTACAATCATCTCTTTGTTTTCTTCCCTTTTCTAAACAAACAACTATATGCTGGGTCCCAGTTATAAAAGTGTTGACGTAGAATATTTCCATGGAAAGTGTCAGGTCAAAGAGTTTCACACGAAACGACGAATGGTTCATTCGTTTATTGTAAGGTTATTTTTAATCAGCTATCAGCACCTTGCTCTGTTACAAATAACTAAAGTTTCGCTCGCTTACGAAGACCTAGAAAATAACTGACGGTTGATTAAAGTGGTAATGCGAACTACATTTACAGCGTGACATCGCTTATATGCTACTTATAAGGAGATATTAATTTCGAAGTAGAGCCATATTTTGACAGCTTTTTTCAGTTTGCCGCTGGGGCTCCTATTGCCATCGAGAGAGCGGAAGAGATCAACGAGCTGGCGGCAACGACAACCGTTCTTGCACAGACAAGCACCACTAGCACTACCATTACTTCCACTGCGACTACGACAACGGAAAAACCGACCACACCAACAGCAGAATTGCCCTCGACTGAAGAAAACGCTGCCAATATATTCCCATTAACTGAGACGACGATACGAAGTGATGCAGAAAAGCCTGACCCCGAAACTGTCATCCACTCGAAGACAGCACATGACGTGATGGACACAATGCACTCCGAATTCAATGATCCTTCCGCACCATCCGTCCAGAAGGAGGAGGGTTCTCCGGACGCGCCATTAAGAGCAGTGGAAGGCATGGTAATGCTAAATGACGAAGAGGAATCAACAGTGATAAGAGGAAAACTCACAAAGGAACTGGAGGAGTCTGTACAAAAACTTGAGAAAGCCCTGGACGACGTAGAACGACAGAATCGAAGGTATGTTCATCAAGATTTTATTGTTGGTACTAGCAAGGAAATATAGTTGAAAGACAACTGATATAACCTTAACCGTTTTATTTACTGCCTATTCTTTTTTAACGGCAGGGTATACATTTCCCGCTGACGGGTGATTGCTGATGGCAAAAGTTCAATAGAACTAGCTGAGAGACACGCGAAACGAAGGACCCACATGGTGTGGTGGTGAACGCGTTACTCCCCGGAAAGGACAATAGCGTGTTCGTTTCCCACCGCAGGCACCTGCGGTCCGGAGCCTTAAAAATATCTCAGCATCATTAAAGTTACATTTAACAATTGATGTAATTTTGAAAACTCTTTCATTTTCATTGATAAGCTAACACGTGGTTAATAAAAAACTTTATTCGGCTGACGTTTTGGTACCTTCGCCTTCATCAGAACCGGATTGGTCCGAGTCGATTGTACACATTTGTTACTTCTTCCGATGTGGGTCTTCGTGATCGCATCAAAATAACATAATGAATTCCTGAGTCAAGTGCTCGTAATGTGAAAATCGATGGGATTCCTAAGGAATGAAATTTAACAATAATAATGATTAAGCATAACAATGAGTGACTAAGTAAGCCAATACTTCTTTGTACTTCTTCACATTTCGTTTTTCTCCTGATTGTTTACTTTGGCGCTCCCTAGAATCCCCTATGATCGTATGGTCTTGGGGTGAATTTTGCTCCGCATTTTATCTCAATCTTACTTCACCATTCTGAACCGGGAAACAAATTAGAAAGAAGGTTGAATACTGAATTCCGGAAAAAATTCGTGGGCTAAGCTAATTATGCGATGACTGAGTGGTTTTTATTAAAGCAGAGTTAATAGAAAGTATTAGAATGTAAAATAGCGCTTATAGTCTTTATAATGCGACACTGTATTTTCTTCCCCCAACTTATGGAGAGCTTATTTCCAATTTTGGGAACTAACTGAATGGCAGAATCACTGGTGATGTTGAAAAGTTTCAAGCTTTATTCAAACTGAAAAGCGGAACCAATACTAACGTTAATGCTAGCA